GAATGCATTCAATTTGGTATTCCACATGCTCCTGTTCTTTTTGAAATCCTTCTATGATGTTATAAACGCTAACATGTCCATCTAATTAAGGTCTCCCATCTTCTGTACCAATCCTCGACAGCATTTTGAGTGCGCGGAGCATTTATAGTTGCCTTTTCTAGATCACTAATGATTCTAGATGGCCTCAGTTCAATATTATTTTCTTCAGCGAAATCTATTAAATCTTGGAATAATCTTTTGTAATTTTCTTCAGATTTGCTAGTCATCAAAGCATATACTAGTTGCAGCTGTGGAAGTATGTTAAGGGGTCATTAGGCCTTATTGGGATTTCGCCCGTGTCGGTATTTTGACCCTGTTGGGATATTATATTGGACAATCGGGATTTCGACCCTGTCGGGATTTTGGCTTGTCGGGATTTCGACCCTGTCGGGATTTTGGTTTGTCGGGATTTCGACCCTGTCGGGATTTTCGCTTGTCGGAATCCCGTCTGTCGGGATTCTGGCTTGTCGGGATTTCGGCTGTCGGGATTATGTCCGGATACCACCGTGCCTTACCATTCTAAATTCGCACGGGGAAAGACTACCAATCACCCAACAGCGCCCTACCTCAATATTGTATTCTAGGCTTTATTTATCGTAATAGTTACTTTGAATATTGTTTTGATTATGATATTCCATTCTTCAATTTTTATATTATTTTAATTAAATTCTTTTAAATTATATTAACGTTTATAGCATTACAAATCTTACAGTATTTTAAGCATAGTATTACGAGTTATATAATATTACTGGTTGCATTGTGATATTGTTTGTAACACGTACCAAATATCTGATTTATGTAGTAAGTGTGTAACAAGCCTTTTTACTAAACCGCACTGGCATTTCTAATATATCTTGTCTTATTACTACTGGTAACACTTTTATATAACTTATATTTTTCATCTATTTTCCTTTTATTCCATTTTGCTGATTTTAGTGTTATGTAATACTATAATAGTAATAGTTCTGTAGTGCATACTATTGTATAGTTTTCTATTATTATTCTCAGTTTTTATTATTATTCTTATGTGTCTCGCACCAACCACCCAACAACAATTGTTATCTCTCTTTTGTGTGAACCAACTATGTATTATGTTGAGCCTTTGTTTGGCCATATATTTATTGCATTTTAGTTCAATAAATGCTGGCAACCTGGGCGGCTGGTGAGCACATGTTTCTGAGGGCTCTTTTGGTCTGTTGGACTGCCACCCGGATGGTCCAGTCGCTGGGTTTCGGCGCTGGGTGCGAGGCGCTTGTGTGGCCCATTCGGCTGTAGATAGAGGTGGACGTGTTGCATATGCCAATTAACCATTATGGTAAAAGGTTAGTGCACACGTGTCCCGTCAACTATCAACTATATCATCACAACGTTCCATTTTCGCATACGCATTCCATTACAAAATGTGTTTATTTTCGGTCTTCTCAATCTGCCGGTAGTCTTTTGACAAATAATTTTGAATCAACTTATATGAAATAGTACATATAAAATAGTTAAGTTCTATACATCAAGATTATTTTCCACTCGAAAAATAAATGTATAGGAAGAAGTATAAACTAGTGCGTCGAAACGGAAACGATGTTTAATGAGCAAATAAAAGGAAATCCAAAGTAGTATGCCGCAAGCTAGTGTGCTGCAATTTATCGGCTTAAAATAAAGAATAATCCTCTCTTAAAAGAGATTTTATCTCATAAATGTTTACCGCTTCAAGAGGACTTTAAATAAAATCGCTCTCAGAGTTAAAAGTATGTTCTCTGCCGCCAGTATATAGAGAACTAGAATTTACCGATGCTGTTTGTTATTATTGGTACTAGACATCAAAAGCAGCAGTATTTTAAAAAGAAGTTGAAAATTTAGCTTTTTAGATTTTTATTTGAAGTAATTAAGTGTCAAGGAAGTTCAAAAAAGGAACAGGCGTCTCTCCCCCCCCCCAATCTTTTCTGAAGTTTCTCGAAAGTTTTTTTGACGAGAGTCAAGAAGGAAGGACGTTTAACAAAAAGATTCAAGAGAGTTTTTTTTTTTATTATTTTTTAATGTGTTCGGACATTTCAGAAAGTTTAATGGACGTTTTATTTTTGTCCTTAAAAAGGAATTTTCCTTAAAAAATTTACATTTGGGAGACAACCGTTTTTGACGATCGCTTCCGGCTAATTTTGCGTTGCGCAAAATTTCTGTTCTGGACAAAAAAAGCCAAACGATTCTGTGGCCGAATTACAGAATCTACGACGTCAAAAACATTTTTATTAATTACAGTAATCTTAAATGTATTTTAAATTACGGTATTTAATAAACTAAATTTACATTAATTTATTAAATACCGTAATTTAAATTATAAAAAATCTGATGTGTACACCACGACTTCCTTGTACGGAATATTAAATTATACACATTTTTTCTTGCATTTTATTTAAACTTATTAGATTGAATTAAACCTACATCGCCGACAGCGCATAAACCACAATAGAATAAATGCATTCTATAAAATTCACTTTGTTTACCATAGCGACACTCTGGCGCTAGGTTTACTTAACAGTATTATATTTCCTTCATATTATAACTCAGAACGCACAAAATGTATATCATTTAAAGAATTATCTAATCGTTGCCACATGTTATATTCAAATACTATAATAAATCTAGAACTATGTATAAAAGAAATTAAGCAAACAAAACAAAAAAGAGAAACAGTTTTTCACAGACGATTGAGTATTTCTCATTTAATTAATTCAGTTCTCACTTCGCGAGAAGGCAAAAATACATAAAAACTCAAAATATCTATATTAAAAATTACGAAACGCTTATTTCCTCGAAAAAATTCCAGAAAGAATTAAGCATGATTTAATTGGCAATAATAAATGAATGCGTTATCTTTGTTGTTGCGAAGCTGAGTTTCTCTAGATTGGCAACAAATCCATTAAAAACAGGCTTAGCGGCAATTAAACAACTTTAAAATTGCTGATAATTCTAAACTTATTGCACACAGATTTACTAAAGGCATAAAATCCTTAACCGGAAGATAGAAACAACATAATTCAATCATTTTTAAAGCAAAAAATGTACAATTTACAAACATATAAGAGTAAGGAAACTGAGATCACTGAGCCAGGTAATAGAGTGGATATATATAAATATATTTATATACGTTTGGTGCGGCCGATTGCAACCAAAATACGAGGTGCACATCTACATGTTTTAGCAGTTCTATATACAAAATTTCAACGTTCTAAGGTTACTCGTTTTTGAGTTATGCGAGATACGTACGTACGTACATACGTTCGTACTGACGCCACAAAAAATTCTCTTCAAAATTAATTTTAAAGCAGTTTTATAATTTTTTTGAAGGAAAAGAGTATTTTATTCTGTCCTTACGTACAGATATCACGCAAAAACATCGTTAAATTGCTTTCGAAAGCGGTAAAAATGGATATTTTCGTTTAAATATTCTGCCTGAAACTTTTCGCTACTTCGTACAAGGAAGTAAAAACCACCGTCTTTATGTCTTTCAAGAGACCTCTCAAAAGAGTTTCAGTTTAGGTGTGGTGTATTTGATTACGACAAAGCACAGGAGGGCTATCTGCTTAAGGGGAGGAATGCCTTCGTGGAGGACTTTCTAAGGGAAACTGGTTCATATACACTTTACACATGGAGAAAACCATAAAAAATCCCATGTGGCTAGCCAGTTAGCAGGGATTTGACCAACTTCAGCTATGCATCATCCGTTAAATTTTAATGACATATAAATGAGGGAAAATATGTCATTGAAATTTATCTATAATCTAACCAATATAAATATCTTCGGTAGAATTTTAATTTTAACGCTTTTATACAAATTTAACTTATATATCTTAGTTTGCAAAAAAAGGCTATCAAACACTATTTACTTGTCTTTTTAAAGAACTGCCAAAAAAGACGTATAATTGAAATTTCAACTTCCGGATGCCATATATGTATTTTAATACTATTAGTATACTTCTCATTTGATACAAATTTTATTTTATCGTCCTGCGTTTAGTTAGTTAAAATATAAAGTGAAGCACCATTTAAAAACGTCTTTAAAACCGCTCGAAAAATGTTGTATAAATAACGAAGACATTATGATGTTGGGAGGTCCCAACTTGTCAGCAACAGTAGTAGTGACTGTTATGAACTGGAAATTACACAAACTCTTAAGAAGGGATTAACTCCCTTTTTATTTCACTTTAGAAATCACAGTTGCATTCACTGGACGCTCACAAACTACGCCGACCCGGCGGTTGAACAAAATAGACAAAAATGCAACTAAAAATAAATGACAGGATGAATAAACAACGAAGTCACTACCTACGAGGCTCTATAATCGTAACTAACTTAACCGCGTTCTAAGATATAGCTGAGATTCAGCAAACTTTCTGATTAAGAATTTGAAAGATTCAACGAACTGTCGATTAGGCACACAGGCCGAAACGCGCGGTTCTTAAACTTTCTACCAAGCAACCTTCACGCTCGTGATTCAAGAAGCACACTTACAATCTTGCTTCCCTTCTATTTAAACTCAATTACTTCTGCTAAAAATTTAAATACTCTGCGCGTTCTTCTAAAATTTACATACTCTGGCATTGGCAATTCCAGGGGAAAGTAAAGGCTTGAAAGGAAAGATAGCTTAAAATAAATGTTAGTTAAAATAAATATAAACCCTACAACATAAAATGGAAAATTCAGTTTAAGAGTGAATGTGATATATTTATTTTATCCATAGAACTTCAATGCTATTACTATTATTACTAATTTTTACGTATTTTATTTCTTCGCCTTCATTTGCTTTTATATAGACTTAATTATTCTCCTCAAAAATTTTAATGTTACTACTATAGTACTGCTTTTATACAAACTTAATTTTATGATCCTACATTTAGTTGATGAGCCATTTTCTTAAATTGAGCTTTTAGAATCAACCACTGGCTTCATAAATGGCATATCTGTTTCAGGCTTCTGTGTTCTCCATTGCCCTAAAGACCATCATCTCCGTGTCTACAGGCTTTCTGCTGGCCCTTGTCCTCACCTACCATGCACTCGAGGTACAGGTCAGTCCCCATTTCAACTTTTCTCACTTCCGTAGTCACTAATAATGTCTATTTCTTGAACATCCTAAAGAATCTGCGTCGTAAATGCCAATGCAACTGAAAAATGAACAAGAAGGTCATAATTTGTTATTGGAAATATTTTAAGGGTAGGGTTAAATGTTGCAACTACGTTACTCCGTATTCTGGCAGCACTCCATCAAAATTATGCTAGTAAATTTTACGAATGTACGTATAACTTTGAATATATACGAGTGTGGTGTTTTTCCTCGTTAATTTCACGAAGATTATACAAATCAAAAGAACTGTCGATCTTTTAAAGTGCTTTTTCACGTTACATTGAGAAAAGTAATACAAATCCCAAAGTACTTTAAAACTTATGACTTTATGGCATTTTTCGTTCGTTATTTTAAATAACGTTACATTACATCGCCCAACACTGTCAAATCTCGACTTATGAATTAGCGGTGACCAACCACCATAACGCTAACGGGCTTAATGTTATTCTTATGTTAGAAATGTTTTTTTTTTTTTTTCAAAAATATTCGACTTTTATGTTACGTTACGCTACTGTGTTATATTACCTAGTGTCCTTGGTAAGTATCGCTACTGAACAGAACATTACTTTTCCCACATATACATAAATACCAATGCAGAGGTTTACCAGTGAAGAAAGCTTGGACATTACGTTACGTTATGTCCAGCTTGGCATGGACTGTTACGTTACGTTACGTCGCTGTGGAAATATTAAATAATGTCCTTGGCAAGTAGTGCTACTGAACATGTAGAGACTAAGGATTTTTTGAAAGCATGAGAGATGAAAAATGATCCATGCTCTCGCCGGGACTCGAACCACGAGCCTCTCGAATACGCGTCTAGCGTGCTGACCACTGCACAACGAAGGCATGCTAGGAAGGCGGGAGAAATTCCTTATATACTTCCCCTTTTAAAGGACGACTGAAATTTAGGGATCCAGTTGCCATAACCTGGTGGTGAAGAATCACCATTCACCTCCTTTTAGTTCGGGCGCTACTGTAGAGACATTAGGAATTTTTTGAAAGCAGGAGAGATGAAAAATGACCCATGCTCTCGCCGGGACTCGAACCTCTGACCTCTCGAATACACGTCGAGCGTGCTGACTAGTACACTACGAAGGCATGCTAGGAGGCTGGGAGAAATTCCTTATAAACAGAACATTATTTTTCTCACATAGAGATAAATCTCAATCCATAGGTTACCAGCGACGAATGCTTTGATAGTAACCACTATCCTTAATAGGCTTAATTTTATTTTTAAATTCGAAATGCCCTTAGCGAAGTCTTTTTAAAATATCTAGACCAGATGTTCTGAACCGGTGGTATGCAGAGTATTTTTAACTATTAAATTTTAAAATGAAAACCCCAACATCCTGATTGGTTTTTTTCTCTAACACTCGTAAATTTATGCGATCTGAGCTTTGTTCAAGAGTGGTGGTGGTGGTATTAGTGCTTTGTAGTGCTGGTACTAAAGGTTTTCAATCTTTGTTTAGATAGTACGCGTTAGTCAAAAGGTTCAGAACCGCTGATCTAGAGTATTGCGTTATTTTACACTATCGTGAGTGAAACTCCCTCGACCTAAGGTCTCGTATCCCCTTGGCCGAGAGCTTACACCACTTATGAGGTCGCTCAAGGGCAGGAGAGAAGATGCTAAAAAAAGAGAATGGTAAAGAAGGCCATAACCTCATAATAAAAATTAAATATATACATGATATATAAAAATGGAAATAGTGGCAAAAATTAAATATATACATGATATATCATTTACTCACCCTGGCAAGTGAATCTTTTAGGGAAAATGCGGGAATCCTTTCTAAATCGACCTCGAAGTTTCCTTGTGATTTTGGTCTTCTAATTGTGCTAGAAAAGGAATGTTCAATACTAGGTAAATCTCTCTACAAGGGCATCTGCAGAAAAGCTTCCAAAAATTTCATCAATTAAATTTCATTTCACTATTTAATTTAAAGAGTTTATAAGGTGCTACTTTGGTAGACTGTTGCACGGATTTTTGGCGATTTACGTTGGCGCAATTGTTGGCGCGATTTTTAAAATCGTCAGCCATCTTGAAAAACGCTGTTTTTACGCATAGTAAAGTATTCGAAACTTAAAAAAAAATAAATACCGTTAAAAGTAATGGATTAATTTTTTGTAGAAAATGTCGTTTTTTAAGATGGCAGGCAAGTGTAAATAAATACATTTACTATGAGTATAAAATACTAAAGTAAGGCTATTATTACTTTCATATAGCAAAAAAGAGAATAAAAACACCGCTATAAAAACATTGTGCCAACGTTTAATTAGATTAAAATATTACTGAAATTGAATATCGAATTAAAAACCATCCTACCAACATTTAAAAGAATTTAAATAAAATACGTTATATAAAATATAATTAACATTAAAACATATGTGACAATAATTATCTCAACAATTTTTGAAAATAGTGTATTAATTTTTTAACAAAAATTGAAGTATACAATTATAAAATAAAAGAAAAATATGTACTTACATTTTTTTGAGTAAATTTAACCTCTTGTTTATTGATAAGTACCACAAAAAATCGAAATCATAACTGAATCGGCTCTTTTAACCATCTTCATCTGCTATCCAAATATTGATATCCAAAATCCCTTCATTGAAGAAGCAATTAGCGAGGTTTCCTCCAAAAATTTAAAATAAATTTCCTCTGACGCTATTAACTATTTATAAATAAATCTTTGATTAGGAAAGACAGATTGGCCAAAATAAGGTCTCAAAGGGCAATTGTTTTATTCCAATACCAATAATTCTTCGTAATTACCAATAACAACATTCTTCGAAACGGAGATATCCATTCCATTTGAAATCTGAAGAATTCGAAGAGATGAATAATAAAATTTTAAAATGGCGCGGTAATGCACAAATATTCAGTCACCAATCAGGGAGCTGATTACATCACGCATAGAATTAAAATTATTTAAATAATCATTCATAATAAAATCATTTTTAAAACAAATGCAAAATTAAATTGTATTTTAATATTTAACAGCCATAAATAATGTTTAAAACATTAGATTAAATTTATAGATATTAATAAAACCAATTATTTTTAAATTAAGGTGACGTCATGGATTACATCATCCACAACGTAAAATTATATTAAATATTATAAACAACAAAATTTTTATTTCAAATAAAAATGTAAAATTAAATTGATTTTTAATATTTTGAAGCCATAAATAATATTTAAAACACGGAAGTTATGCATAATAAAACGCATTATTTTTTTTAATAAAATGACAACAAAGTATCGGTTACCATAAATAACTTATCCAGCAATGGGTTTACCATAAGTTGTATTACTCGCCAAAAGGAAAATCGCCAAAATCCGTGCAACCTACTACTAAAGTAGCACCGTTTATAAATATGTGCAGCATAACATTGAATCAATACAACGCTTACATCAATAAAAAAAAAAAAAAACACATTTTCACTCGATTCCGAGGAGGTGATAAGTGTCCCATTGTCCTTCCTTGCGGATGCATACATCCAAGTATACTAAATATCATTAGGGAAAGTTAGAGTATTAATTTTTCATACAAATTTATACGCTGAATACTTGTTTAATAAATTGTGTTATTTCAAAACAATAAAAACATTTCTTATTAATTTAAATCTTTATATTATTTTTATTACAGAGAGGATATAATTTAAAAGGTATTTAATTTATAATACTCAACTGATCGTTTTTAGGAACATACGCAGCGCTACTATAAATAATAAAGATATTTTAATGACATACATTACGTATATGATACTGAATCGTTTGGAACTGAGTAAACGTACCACTACATTATTCTTATCTGTATGCTACTTATCTTATTCAGCGTCTGCTACATTATTCTTATCATTCACCTATGCATTCATCTCCAGTCATTATTATACAGAATAATGTCTGGTTCGTAGTTGTCCTCATTTAAATACGATCCATTCTCTTTAGAAAGTCCACCACGAAGCCATCGAGCCTTAGGCAAATAGGCCTCATATACTTTCCTACAATCAAATAACCTAAACTACCTTTAAGGTTTCAGGAGTTAAGCAGTGCGGAACACTACAGTATGAATTGTATACGTTACTAATTAAAAAGCTTATTTTAAATTGTATTATTATATGCATTATTATAAATGAAATAAAATCTTAAATCAGTTAAGAAGCATGTTTATTGTTTTTAAACTACTCATATATTAAGCAATACAATTAAAACTTGAACTATAAATTAAAAAATTAAATATAATTTAAACTAATCTTATTAACCTTCTTAGCTCTACGGACGACATAATATGTTTGCTGTGAGCTTTAAAAGTCTAAGATGCTTGTTAAAAGTAACAAGAGAAAAATAATCTAAATATATATGTATTGTAGTTTATAATTGAAAACTTAACAAACTTAAATCACCATTTCTTTTAGAGGATCTGGAACTGCAATAAATTATGAGGAATCATCGCGTTCAATAATAGTGGAAGAATTATCTAATCGTTGCCATATGTTCTATTCAAATACTATAATAAAAGCTAGAACTATGTATAAAAGAAATTAAGCAAACAAAACAAAAAAAGAAACAGTTTTTTTCACAGACGATTCAGTATTTCTTATTCAATTAATTCAGTTCTTACTTCCCGACAACGTAAAAATACATATAAACTCAAAATATCTATAATTAAAATTATGAAGTAAATCTGAAACACTTATTTCCTCGAATAAATTCCAGAATGGATTAAACATGATTTATTTCGCAATAATAAAAGAAAGCGTTACCTTTGTTGTTGCGAAGCTTAGTTTCTCTAGATTGGCAATAAATCCACTATTTTGCCAAGTTTAAAATGTAAACAAACATGTCCGCCATCGCAAAACTTTTAGGCTTAGCTGCACTTAAACAACTTTTAACTTTTTGATAACTCAACAAATATTGCATGCAAATTTACTAAAGGT